CGAAACTCCCGCCTATTCTCCAAAGTTGTAGAAGATTTTCGAGAGTAAGAGTCAACAATCTATGTATGTACGTAAACGCTTAACTGTAGCTCAGTGTTGTTAAGTAAAATTGAAATTTCTAGAACGCCTCCACACGGCTATAAATATAACCAACGCGACGCACCAACGAGAGTATCTATTATTATTTCGCTATAGTTAGTGTGCTATAAACTTTGGAAGCTATAACTGTAATTGTTATAACGCTTATCAATCGGAAAACTTCAGATATTTGACCAGGAGCATTTATAAATTTCGAACATTACAAACCATTTATCTTCAGTGGATTCACATCAGACATTAATACTTTTACGAAAACATTACCTAACATCATCAGTGAAACTCCACCTATAATCGGCGTGTAATTAGCGAGAACTACAGGGCTAGCTTGCTCCCTCCTAAGCGAATTGTACCTACGTCAACTCGTAATTAACTCGCTCATCGTGAACTCTCGATAAGATATCGAAGAAGTTTCAGACTAGAAATAGAACTTTATATTGCTTGTAAGTTTGTGAAACTTTTGTTTATAAATCATTGATTGTAATAACTATTTGTAATAACTGTTGTTCTAAATTGTATTGTTCTGTGTATATTAAAACGTATTTGTGTTAAAAAAAAGAAAACTGTGTATATCAATCTTGTTGGCAAATATCATAAACTGACTACATATCGGCATTTACTTAACTACTAAATTCAAATTACAATTTAACTACTAAATTCAAATTACAATTTAACTACTAAATTCAAATTACAATTTAACTACTAAATTTAAATTTATCAGTTAACTGAATTTCAGGCTATTTGAAATTATAATACGTAACAACTGTGACATTAGATAACATGAAAATCCACTATACACGGGAACAGTAGATTACACTATACACTGTGACATTAGATAACGTGAACTGTAGATAATAGTGATCACTATATATTGTGACTTTATATAACACTGATAATCACTATACACTGTGACATCAAATAACACTAATAAACGTTATCCACTTTGACATTAAATAACACTAATAAACGTTATCCACTTTGACATTAAATAACACTAATAAACACTATACACTGTGACAGTAGACACCACTAATAATCACTATACACTGTGACAGTAAATAACACTAATAATCACTATACACTGTGACAGTAGATAACAGTAATAATCACTATACACTGTGACAGTAGATAACATTAATAATCACTATACACTGTGACAGTACATAACATTAATAATCACTATACACTGTGACAGTAGATAACAGTAATAATCACTATACACTATGACAGTAGATAACATTAATAATCACGATACTCTGTGACAGTAGATAACATTAATAATCACTATACACTGTGACAGTAGATAACAGTAATAATCACTATACACTGTGACAGTAGATAACATTAATAATCACGATACTCTGTGACAGTAGATAACAGTAATAATCAC